CTTAGTAGTTATTCCATTATTTTTCTTAGTAATTATTTTTTTATTTTCAGTAAAAAGTTTTTTCCTTTTTTGTTCAATTTTAATCTAATTTTGAAATTAATTAAGTTAATATTTAAATTGTTATTTAGAATATTAATAATTTTGATTAAATGTCTAAGTTCTTTTAGTAATAGATGTAGTAAGGTGCTGTAAGAAAATTATATATAATTATAACTGCATTTGTAAGATTTTTTATTAGAAATTAAGTATATAGCAATATAAATAATTAAGTATTTAATTTTATACCAAGTAGTTTTTATATATTCATTAGTGTTACAATTAAGTGAAATGTTATATGAGTTAAGTTTTTGAAAAAGTAGATCAAAAAATTCTGTTTATTTTTCTGATGGCATGGAATTGTAATTAAAAATTCTATAACTAATACTAGTATGATAACATGAAGGTTTGCTAAATGTATTAGTAAAAGATCATGAAGAGAAAAGAATAGAGTGATCACTTAGTGTAGGGTTATTACTATTATTAAGATTGTAAAAAAAAAAAACTGTATATTAAATAAATTAGTCTATATGTAACCAATATAACTTTAATAGTATTGTTTAACTATGTATAGAGTTTGTTATTAACATATACATTAAGATTATACATATTGGCTTAATTTAAATAGTTTGTAAATTAAAATTTAGATGATGAACTACAAATATTATTATATGTATTGAAGTTATCAAGAATAATTGAATGAAGGTTTAGTTGGTAGACTTGTTGGATCTATAAAATAATTATTTCTTGTATTTTGTTATATTAATATATGTCTGTAGAAAAGAAATAAACTGCTATAATATTAAATTTAATTTTATTTTAAAAAAAGGTCTAAAGTTACTGCTCTTTCAAAATATGTTTGGCAGTTGTATATATGTAGTTGAAGGTAGTTGTGAATTATAATAATAACAACTTCTACAGAATTTTTAGAATTTGTTTAAAAGTGGATAAACAGACTATTGTTACAAAAATAAAGGTTAGTAATGTTGGCAATTTTGTTTTAGTAATACAGTTAATATAAATATTGTTATAAAGACAGTAATTTTGCTAAGTTTATTTTTTGGTAATTATATTAAATTCTCTAATATTATGATAGCAATGTTTAAATAAAAGTTATTCAAGTTTTGTATAAATATAAAGATTTGTGTTGAAAGTAGTAATAATGTTAAGAATAGTAATGTGGAAATAAAAAGAGATAAAGATTGTTGTAGTAGTATTGAAGGTATAGAAGATAATAAGTTTGATGTTAATATTATTATATATTGATTTGTTAAGTTAAGAGAATTATCTTCTGTTATATTTGATTTTAGTAAAATGTTTAAATAATACCAATAGCTTGAGGTGGTAAAATAAAATAATTAGATAAAGATTTAGGTTCAGATAAAAGATAAATATGAGCTTCACTGTAATCATTTTAATAAAGATAGTTAAATTATAGCTACAAGTATTGCTTGGCAAATAATTAAAACTATAAATATACTATAAAAAAATAATGATAGTTTGTAGATATAGAAGTAGTGTGAGATGGTTATAAGCTAAGAATTTATTGTAGCATGTGTAAAGTTGTATAGATCCAAAGTACACATTAGTAATAACAGTACCATTATAGCCAAATAAGACAGTTTCTATTAGTTATATATAAGTATAAGCTAAAGCATTATTCTTAATAATAAATTTGATATATTATATATTATTAAGAACTGAAGAATATTTAGAAAAAATAAAGATTGATAGATAGTATCTATAACCAGATCATTGTAGAATAAAATGATCAGATAAGAGTTTTGGTTCATCTGATAAGTGTATATAGCACTTATTATAGTTTAGTTTAATTAATATTACTAGTATAAAGTTATAAAAATTGAATAGTATATAATTTTAAGAATGTATATGTTCAAGAAAGAAGTAAAAAGTTTGTAAATATGAAAGTAAAGATAGGTCTTGTTGGGCTAACTATTTATTGTAATATTAGTCTGAATCCAGTAATATATTATCAGTTAAGTTTTGTGATTTTTTTTTGAAATAAAATAATATAATAAAATACAAGAAAATAAAGTCTTTCTCTGTAGATTTGATCACTATATGCTCAGCTCTTATAGCTGCAAAAAGTGCCATAGCCTGCTCTGTAAGTCGAGTCTGGCTATCATAAACTTAGTTCTTTACATAAATAGACTTTTTCATTTGTTTACTTATATTATTTTTTTTTAAGAATGGTTCACAAAAAGTGAAGAACATTATTATCTTAAAAGTTGTGATTGCATTAATATGTTTTAAAGAGAAATTTATTAAAAAGAAGTATCAGTAAGAAAAAATAAATTTTTCAGATTTGGTGTTCTTGAAAGTGTAGCTTAAATTTGGTTTGAAAGATTTTTTCTGCTTCTGATATGCCTTTCTTGAAAATGTTTAACAATTTTTGAAAACTTTATAAAAACATTATTGGTGTCAAAGTAAGTTGTAATATAATCTAAGTAGTTTTATTGATAATTTTGGTTATAAAAATATTAATAGCTTGTTGTCAATCAAATTTGTCAATATTATATTTTTGTGTAGCAATGTTTTAATAAAATTTTAAATATTAATAAAAATAATAGCTTTATTATTTAGAATTTGTTTTAGTTTAATTATTGGCATATTGTGACAGGCTTATTGGACGAGTTCAAAGATGGGGCAAATGCGACGAATTGTCGCTAGAAAAATAGTTATGCTGTGTAATATTCCTCAAAGATAACAGAGTCGGTTTTACGATTTGGCACAAGGTCAAGGTGATTGTAGAAGAGCGTTACAAGATAAGTGTCATGAATTTAAAAGAACATGGGTTTATTTTACAAGTTAAAAGGATCTTTATTAACTTTTATTAGTATTTTGTAGGGGAATACAATTATATTGTTAAGGGCTATTCTGGACTATGCTGAACTATTCTGAACTGTATTGAGATTTTCTCTGAACTGTCTTTTGGGAGGGGGAAATTCCGCCCTTTTTATAATGAATTGAACAAGAGAAGAGCCCGCGCAAGACCACGACTCTTCTCATTATTACTAACACTTCCCAACCTTATTTGTTATAACCTTTAACCCCTTCTACACAGCCTTTCATTACTTTAACATTTCTCACAGCTCTCATAGTGCTGATGAGAAATGTTTCAATTTCTCGATTCTGGGGCCAGAACCCATCATATTGTCTTTAATCGCATCCTCCTTGACATCACCTCACACCTAACCCAAGTATGGCAGGTGAAGTCAACATCTATTCCCAGCACAACAGGTTGGTCCAAGTCGACCTTACTTTAATTGGAGGGGTGGTTGGGTCCCACATGAAGGCTTGTGTACTTGCATATGGCGTCTTTTGGGGCCAGGCACACATGTTTCAGATGGATCATCATAGGCAACTCTAATTAGATAAGTATGCCACAATGACGTTCATTTTGTAGGTTCTATGAGGTGTCGATTTTACCTCTTACAATATATAAACTTCTTAGCTTTGGTTACAAGATCATCAAGAAGTTTTATAAGGATTTTTTCTTTAAAAGTAATTTTATATTTAGCACTAATATAAAAAATTGAAGCATCAATATTAGATTGTTTCTAAATTTTACTTTTAGTTTTTGGATATTCTGAGTAGAACTCATTTAGAATTTCTTTAATAAGGTTGCTATAGTTATGTATATATTGGTAATCAGATTGGTTATTACTAAGTATAATCTCTTTTGCCTTTGATTTTTTTTCTTTAAGTTTTGTTTTATTAAGATGTATAAAGTCAGAGTTAGTATATATATAATATAATAATTAGCATGTCAGAAAGTCTTATTATGTTATTGTTAATAATTATGTGATTCAATAAAAGAAATTTTACTATATGCATTATTTATAAAAATTGATAGTGTTCCCTTATTCTAATTATAAATTATTATTTTACCTTTTTTATTCTATGTAAATTAGGTTAAAAAAATTATGTGACTCACTGACCAAGTGGATAGAAATATTTCATATATTAAATGTACCAGAAATGATGATACAATGACATGAGTTAGGTCAATAATTCTAGGCCTCTAGCCAATGCCCCTGCCTGGACCATATCTACTTCATATCATTCCAAAGATAAAGATAAAGAAGATGATGATGATGAAGGAGATGATGATGATAATGGAATAGATGAATTAGATCATAAAGAAGAAGCTACAGTAAGTGGCAGTGATAATATTAGTAATAATGGCACAAATAATAATAGTACAAATAAAGAAGGAGCTGAAAAAACTGCTGTTATTACCAATGATGAATAAGAAGCAATAAATTAGAAATAATATATTTCTGTTTTTGCTAGCATCATCAATTTGTTTAAAATTATGAAAACTTTTGTATTATTGCTTTTTTTTAAAATTGTAATATTGCTTTTGAATAAAATGTTTAATAAGTATATTTAGTTCTATTTCTTTAATCAAAAATGTTTGGTAATATGTAATATAGTGAAGCAATAACAAACAAAAACAATCATTTTATATATAGTAATATCTGAATTCCGATATGCTTATGATAAATGTCCTGAAGCTTACTAATATTATTTCTATATAATTAATATCAGAATTTAGATTATCATATTGCCGATATTGATTTTCAGTTAAATGAAATAACTCTGAAAGATCTATTTTAATTATTTGATATAATTCTGAAAAGTATTCTATTTCTGCCAAATTTCTGTTTCATATCAGTAACATATCAGTTTTAAATCTCATTATAATATCATAATCCTATTAGTTAATTTTTGTTTAATATTGGCTTTGTGATATTTCTCCGGTATAGATTTATTCGACCTGTGCTATATTTGTAATAATTTTATTTATAATAAAAATATTTATTCGTAAATATAAAACATTCTAAACAAATTATATCTAATAATTTAATATTCATTATTAATTAAATTTAGTATATAATAAATAAGTAAATCAAATGAAATTTAGAATTATTCAAAATATGACTAAAACTAAGAAACAACATCCTATTTGGATTTATTTTCCTTCTAATGATTTAACCAATTCTTATATTTGTTCACAGTGTGATCATTCTTATTAAATAAAACATAATAAGAAAACATTTGAAACAGAATTAAAAAATTATTTTATAAATAAACATAAAGAAATTTGAAAAGAAATTAGATATAGTACAAAAATCAGAAGTGGAAAGGGAAAAACAAGACAAAAAATTGTTTCTTATAATAAAACAGAAGGATCATCTACTTCTTTATTTATTAATACTAAATTGAAAAATGAAACTTTAGAATATCTTCAACTTGAAGATCAGTTTCAAGATAATAATAAAAGAACTTTGATTTCTACTTAAGAGAATACTATTGGCATTTATCCAATTAATGATTCTAATATGATTAAAAACATTAAAAGTATTGAACTTGATTATGGTAAAAATTTTGCTATTAAAATTAATCTTGATAAAATTAAAATTACTGAAAAATGTAAAATCAAATTTAAATAATTTTTTTTTATGTTTTTTTTTATATATTCATTTATTAAGCTATCAATATTTTTAACTATCTCTATCAAAAATGATCATAGTGAAGCTCATGTCTATTTTTCATCTGAATCGAAATCCTTACCTAATCATTTCATCTTATCAGTCCAAGCCATTTGGCACTATTCAAATATCCAACTAAAATCAAATACATCAACATCAGTCTTTTTCATACCAGCATCCTTAGACCACTAGTTCTTTTCTACCTCTTACCTATCTCAAAGACCAGTATCCCCAAACTATTACAGTCTATCTTCATCACCTTCTAACAACTCAACAACAAACTCCAAATCACTAAACTTACTAATCTGTATATATAATGTATGAGGCTATAATAAAAATTTAAAATAACAAATCTGGAAAGACTTCTGTCTTTCTAACAATCTCAAAATCATTAGTATTACAGAAACTAAAATTACTGCAAATAACCCCATATCCAAATTACAAAAATCCAAACACTTTACTTATCTCTGGTCCTGTACTGATAATTCAAAAGCTGGCATGACTATTATGATTCATAAGTCCATTAAATGTCACATTCACAAAATCCTACTCTTTTCTGGATATGCTATTGCAGTAAACCTTTTCTTCAAACATGACTTCAAGTTTAGAATTATTTTAATTTATTTATCATGTGATAATTCTCACTTAGACTATCAGTACAGAATATTATTATTCAATGAATTCAACAAGCTATTACTCTAAACATACAATCCATTATCCTAGGTGACTTTAATGCATCAGATTACCTTACCCAATCCTCCTCAATTAAATACAAACTACTCTACATTCTTCAATATAATAATTTATATAACTTAGCTAGTTACATACAATCCTTTACACCTACTTGGCAAAGCAGCAGATATAGTAGTAGCATTGACTATATCTGGGCTAACCAACCTCTTCTTCGCTATCTCAACTCCTTTACTGTTGAAGACCCTGATACTAGCACTCAAAGTGACCACAAAATTCTCATTTCTAATTGGTTCTTCCCTTACGCATACTTAGGCAAACCCTGTTATTCAACCAAAACCCGACGAAAAACATTCTTATACAAAAACATAAACAATGAACAATGGCAACTTTTTTCAGATCAAGTGTCATTAAACTTAACTAATAATCAAACACTACTCAATATACAAACTCCAGAATCTTTAGAATCTATATGGCACAAAATTCAAAACAGTATTATTACTGCAGCCCTTC